ATAAATATATACATATATATATACATGTATGTATATATATATAATATACATGTGTACATATATATATATTACAATACTAGTGCATAACAAAAGTTTTTATAGTATATGATCTAATATGTTCTAGTTCAATAAAGTCTATCATGACATGTGCATGGAAGGCTGGCTCGAAGAAGGCGACCTTGCCGAAGCAAGCGCTTGCAGCCCAGATCTTTTCCGAGCCCATTTTCGAAACCCTAAACCCTAAACGCTAACCCATCCAGACATTGAAAAAGGCACTACATTCCTCCACACGAGAAGCGACGTCACTTGGAGCTGGCCAAGTGGAAGGAGACCAAGGTGCCACCTGAGAGCCAACTGCCCTACAATACCTGTTTGAAGCCATGCTTTTACCTTTGCTACGACAGATAAGAAGCCATACATGTTTCTTCATGAAAACAATACATGTTCACCTATTCTATGACAGACAAGCTTCCAGGGAGCCGGCAATGGTCCCAAAGCACGGACGGATTTGGGGCAGTCCTGCAGGCTGCATGGCATCGCAAGCTGCAAGAAGAGGAAGCACTGGGAAACAGGTGCTCCGGGCTCCCTTGAGCTGCCGGTTTAGGGTTTAGGGTTATAGGGTTTAGGGGTTTAGGGTTTAGGGTTACTTCCTTCATGGGTCTCAGTACATAATCATCTATATGGTATACAATCCGACCGCACGATGACCCCGAAAAGTAGGGGTTGATGTGGTCCGCTACCAGAGCTCTCCATTAGAGCCAGGGCATACTTGCAGAAGTCTCCAGTGCGTCAGGCCGAAGCAAAAGATGGGTCCCAACATCCGGGCGTTGGCGCGGCGCTTCGAGGCTCGCTAAAGATGCTCTTGTTTGGGGAGACTGTCGCGGACTTGCTCGGTTATGTAGGCATCAGGGCACGGTGTGTTCATTTTTGCATGCATCGGCTGCGAGAATAGTGTGTCGATGAACGGGGGGGGCGTTCCTCTCATTCCGATTGATAGGTCTGGAATGCTCCGCAGAGATCTTTTCTGCATGTACGTGTGTATGTATGTATATATATATATGTTTATTTCTTTTTTTAAACATGCATGCAAGTGCATGTGCATGTGTATGCGTACATGTATGTGTATGTATATGTAGATGTATGTGTAGATGTATACTGTGTATGTACGCACACGCACGCATACATACTTGTCTGTGTGAGTGCATGTATGTATGTGTGTATATACGTACATATATATATATATATCACATGCATTTTTATGGCTATTTGTCAATACGACATACACATACACATGTAGGTACACGTGCACATACCGACCCATGTATAGCTGTGCATGCCGCTTGGATGGGTCACCGTCGAGTGCTCGAGGCGACGTTGGAGAAGCCAGGGTCCTGCTGCTTGAACCCGCTGCAGAAAGATGACTGCCCGGGTCTCGGGGTGTTGCGCACATGTGGGCTTAGCGGGTCGAGGTATCGGATCAAGAGGTCGTAAAGTTAGAGAGGATGAAGCGCTGGCGATCCCGATTGTTGTCTTGATCCAATTCATGAGGGGTCTACGTCCGATGACGAGGCATAGAAGTCTCCAAAGATGGGCTTCGCGCCATGCTCGATCCTCGGACATACCCATGCCGACGGCAACGCGGTGCTGGAATGCGCTGATAGGTGCGAGCCGTCTGCGAGCACAGGGCCAAGCCCAAGCCGTGCAGCCTCTGGTGGTATCAAGGGATTGCCCCTGGTCGCCGGCGGCCGCTATCAGTTCGAGGCTTTTTGCCAATCTTTGAAGCAGCGAGCGGTTGTGTTGCTTAGGAGTGAGCGGTTTGAAGAAGCACAGGTGGAGTTGCGCCGTGGGGGCTCCTTAACAATTGGCTGGAGTGCCGCTTCAAGCTCAGAGTCTTCCCTTCAGATTGTGAGACAGCGCGCATCATGCTTTACTAGACTCGTGTACTTTATCATACCGTATTGTACTGTGCTGTACTATATGGCTACTGAAACACGAGTATATGATAAAAAAGCAATGATCTTGCAACAGTGTCAGCCTAAAGCCTTAAAGCCCCGTAAAACACTCTGTAAGGCCTTATCGCATCCCGGAGACAACCATAGAATGCCGATCAAAGTTCAATAGAATCCCGATCAAATTCGTACAGAACCCCGATCAAATTCTTATAGAGCCGTGATCTAAGTCTTATAGAAAGCTGATGAAGTTCTTACAGAACTCCGATCAAATTCCGATGAAGAATCCCGATCAACAGGTGATAAAATCACGATCAAATTCTTATGGAACCTTCAAACCAGATAAAATCACGATCAAATTCTTATGGAACCTTCAAACCAAGCCTTTGGAGCCCTTTAAAGGCCTAAACCCCAAACCCTAAACCCGAAACCCTAAACTGGCCCTAAACCCCAAACCCTAAACCCTAAACCTAAAAAGAAAAGACCCTAAACCCTAAACCCAGGCTCTGGTCTTGCCGTCGGTTCTGGAGGGCAACGGTCGCAGCGCTGCGCCAGACACTTGGGTTCTGAGACTGTGCCCATAGGCCCCTAGGTAGTTCCTTTTTTGGGATTACCTTATAGGATTCTAAGTATAAACCACAAAAAGGAACTACTTAGGGGCCTATGGGCGGGCCGGAGAGAGAGGGAGGTGGAGGTTGCTACAGCCAGGATATCCCAGGACAGGATGAAAACGGTTTTTGGGGTTTAGGCTTTAGGCTTTATAGGTTTTAGGCTTCTAGGTTTTAGGCTTATTTAGGGTTTAGGGGCAAAGCCTGCCGTGATAGGCGTTCGCGTGCGCGGTTCAGGGTTTGACCTGCCCTGGGCCTCAAGCCTCGGAGAGAGGCTAAAGCCTAAACCGAACCCTAAGCCCTAAACCCCCCTAGAGCTTAGCTGGGATTGGCAAGGCGGAAAAAGGGCGCTCAAAACAACAAAAAACAACCGAGAGAGAGACTTCGGGCGTGGGATTTCGGCTCTACGGGGCTTTACGGAATTTTTGGGGGTTCTAGGGTGTAGGCGTAGGCATTCATGGTGCAGGGGTTTCCGGATTCCGGGTTTAAGTTTTAAGGGTTTGGGGACTCAGGGTTTAGGGTTTATAGGGTTTATAGGGTTTAGGGTTTAGGGTTTGGGGGTTTAGAGGTAGAGGGTTTCTGGGGACCGGATCGTCAAAATGCGAAACGGGGGAGCGATAGCTCGTAGCTAGCGTGAGCCCAGGAGTGAATGACGGATACACTCCTTGCTGTTGCCTTTTTTCCGTGACGTAGGCTCGTTGCATTGCCAATGGAACCCTAAACCCTAAACCTGAGTGAGGGACCGAAGCGAAGGTGAAGTGCTGAGCACTGAGTTTTCTTGGCAAGGCAGAGGTGTTTTGACAGGCCTGCCTCCTGTAGGCTCTCGGACTCCTAGCGAGACGGAAAAAGGCTCTCCAAAAAAAAGCACCCTAAACCCCCTAAACCCCCTAAACCCTAAACCTAAATGGTTCTAGAGCCCCGAAGAACGGGGGGGGCGGGGGGTCCTGCGGAGAGAAAGAAAGAAAAACGCAAGGTCTGGGTATGGGTAGTCCTCTAAAGTAGGGTTTAGGGTCCCTTTTACATAGGGTGTCGGGGACCTGAAAAGGGACCCTAATTTAGAGAACAATCCATGTTCAGATTCCGGTTTGGGGGTTTGAGTTTGCAGCCTTTGAAACGGGCTTTTGCAAGGGTTCACCGGGGTTTATCGTGGACAGATGCCTGAACCCCAAAAAGGACCTACAAACCCTAAAGCCCCGTCGCTAAACAACGACTCGTGTTTTTCTCCGACGCTTCAGGTGCCGGATGCTTGGATTCTCTTCCGACGGAGAGCTGATCGGCGGCGAAGGCTGCAGAAGTCGTTTAATACAGAAGCCTCAATAATAACAAATACTAGGGTTCTTTATATATGTATAACATACCCTAAAACCCCATTCCAAGTAATTATATTTATATAAGGCCCCTATATTCACGCTTTCTACTCGTAGTGTTGTGCAACTTGTTTGGGCTTCACCGTTTAGGGCAGGGTAGGGTGTATAGGGTTGAGGGCTTTCCGCAGAGTTTAAGTTTAGGGTTCACAACTCCCCTCCTGTGGTGGATCGGCGAGCAAGCGCTCTTTTACGCTTCGAAGAAGCCCGGAAACCCTGCTCTTCTTTGGCCCGGGAGCTTCGCGTTGAACCTACCCATAGGCTCCTTAGTAGTTCCTTTTTATGGTTCATATTTAGACTCCGAAAAGGCAATCCCAAAAAGGAACTACTAAGGAGCCTATGGGTAAAGCCAGAGAAATGCATGCCTCAGCTCTCCACGCAGCGCAGCTCGGCCCCCATCCAAGAGCCTTCAAATCTCACAGAGGCCAGGGTGCGCAGTGTAAGGATTGCCGTAGCCAGAACGACCCAGGGCCTCGCTGACGTTGGCATTCGGATTTACAGATTCCCGTCTTCATGTCCTTGGAGCACAACTTAAGTCAGAAGGCAACTCAAATGACAAGCTCAAAATAGCCACAAGGAATGAACAGATAGCCCTATCCATACCAGCTCTCCAGCAATGACGAAATGGCTCGCTTTGTGCAGTTCAGACGATGTCGGACGGCAGCCTGTTCGCCACACGCTGCGCGACGACACTGACATTGTCCTAATCCGGCATGCCGGGCGGCTGCTGGCGATGAGTAACCGCTGCCCTCACAAAGACGCCAGCCTCCACCGTTCAGGCAACATGAATGACTCAAAACCTCTGTGCCCTCAGTCTGGAAACCCCCCTAAACCCATATACATATATATATATAGATATGTATGTGTATATATATATATGTCTATATATATATATATATACATACATACATATTTACGGGCTGCCGCCA